TGATTTCTAAGTCCTTTAGGTTTGTGGAGCATTGACTAAATGTTTAGTGGCTTGAATTGAGTGTCTTATGTTTTTAATTATTAGGATTTGGTCTATTACTAGTGTTTTTTTGGTTTAAATGTTTAAGATATGGTTGTCGTGAAGATTTGAGATATTATTAGTGTTTGCTTGAATTTAAATATTTATGTTTTTGCTTGCATTTAAATATTTAGTATTTGTAAAAAAAGAACTTGGATATTTAGAAGTAATTATACTAATATATTTGTTTTTTTTTTTGTCTCTCGCTTTTCGCCTAGGCCTCAAGAGACTTTATGCCTTAAATAACACTGCAACCCATAACCAAATGGTGTAGTAGAAAAAAAAAGAATAAGACAATCGTTGAAATGGCAAGATCGATGTTTCTTGAGAAAAACATGTCTAACAGTTTTTCAGCAGAACTGTTCACACTGCAGTACATATCATCAATAGATATCGAACCAAAGCAGTGAGAAAAAAAGTCCATATGAAGTTTGAAGCGGATTTAAACCATCGATGAGTCATTTAAGAATTTTTGGAAGCATTTGCTATGCTCATGTTCTTGATCAAAAGAGGCAAAAACTTGAAAAGAAAAGTGAAGATGTATTTTTCTTGGTTATTGTAATGAGTCAAAAGCATACAGATTATATAACCTTAAAACTAAAAAATTGTTTATTAGTTGAGATGCAATGTTCTATGAGACAACATGTTGGAATTGGGAAGAAAATAAAGTGCAGAAAATTCCCTTGATATTCGAGGAGCAGTAGCAACAAAATACTCATGCAATATCAGGAGAAGGAAGTGAAGACTCAACCCCACTACAATCACCAAGGAGTAGTAGCACTTCTTCATCAGAACCATCACCACCAAGTAGCAGGAACAGTTCTTCATCAGATCCATCCTCACCAAAGTTATTGGAACGGAAATCCCCAGAACCATAGACAATGCGTATGTATCGAATACCAAAAATTTTCTTTTAAAATCCTATAAGGTGAAATTACGGTTTACCTTCAAGATCGCTCTGGATTGATCTCATCTCAGCACAAACGCAGAAAACAAACGCGGAAGACAGCTCGACAAACCTCGCGGCCTTCTGTCGTATATCCCTCAACTTCAAAATCCAAATATAGTGTGAGCTGTTAGAACCTCCAAACTTTTGCTCTCCCTTTTAGCCTCTCTAAAAAACGTGAGTAATGAATTGATGCTGATTTAGAGAGCCAAGACTCTATATATAGGTTAAGACAAAACCCTAAGGAGAAATAAAGATCGAGCTTCTAATGGGCTCAAGATTCTTATGTTCAACCCAGAACAAACATCCTACAGCTTATTAATAATAAGTTAGTCTACTAAAAATTTATTATTGAACAGGATCAGGAACAAACATGAATACATATGTCGGTCTGAAATTGTCAACGATGAACTAGTGACTTCTGTGGTTAATGTGGTTCTTGACAATCCCACCATTGCTGGTGTTTCTTTGTACTTCGAGATGGAGGAAATCAATGCTGGCATAGGTAGTAGTTAGACCGGAGGGTGCATAACAACAACTGTCACGTCTTACATTGAATTGCTTATGCGAGAGATGGGTCCATTGATATTTCCAACTTCTAGTGTGACAGGTGAATGTTTAACTTCCGTAGGGATGTAGGTAATGGATGAGTCTGGGCAGTACTTTTGCACTCAACAAAGAACTGGAACTACGACATACGATGGGAACTTAGCTAACAATTCATTGAGTCAGAATTTTGAGGCAGGAATTGTGTTGGGTGAACAAGATAATGTCTATCAACCAATAATTCAACAAATGCTTTTTCGAGAATATGAAGAAATGTGTGACAATGATCATACATATGTCTCCGATGATGACGATGAAGAAGAAGAGTTTAAGGAAGTAATAATAGATGAGCCGGATGCCGAAGATGAGAATGGCGAAGACTTTGAGGTTGCTCAGGTGGTGGAAATGCATAAGTCTTACTCTACCTCATTCACAACCACTGAATTTGCTCAGTATACTGAAGCAGATTCTTATGTATCGTTAGTTGAATAGAATTTGTGGGATCCGGTGAAGATGGAGTTGGCGAAGGGCATGATTTTTAAGGATAAAGCTTCATTAATTAGGACTGTTAAATAGTATTCAATCAAGCTGAACCAGGATTTTGTCGTGATCGAGACGAACACAACTGTGTGGGTTGTATAGTGCATCATGTACATGCAGCCTAACTACACATGGAGACTGCGTGCTTGTTTTAGGAAAAAATTAAAAATATTTTAGATCACGAAATTTGATGGACCACATACTTGCTTCTACCCTAGGATGAGTCGTGACCATCGACAGTTAGACTCTGACTTCATTTGTCATAATATATTGGGACTCGTGGGTGATACACCACAAACCAAAATATTGACAATTCAAAAAAATATAAAGGAGAAGTTAAAGTTTTGATATTTCCTATAAGAAAACATGGATTGCCAGGAACAAAACAATTGCTAAGATTTTCGGTGATTGGGACTCGTCATATGACATGTTGTCAAAGTTTTTGGGTGCCATCAAAAAGTATAATTCTGACTCGATTGTGAAGTGGCGGTACAACTCTGAAACTCCTGAATATAATATTTTTTTACGAGTATTTTGGGCATTCAAGGCCATCATTAAAGGGTTTAAATATTATCGACCTGTTGTTAGTATTGATGGGACATTTTCGCATGGAAAGTACAAGGGAAAACTATTAGTGGCGACTGCTTTTAATTCTAATATGCAATTGTTCCCCATTGTATTTGCTATTGTGGAAGAGGAGAATACGTCAAGTTGAGCTTTTTTCCTATATTACATTCGGCAGATAGTTCTTCAACATCACGAAGGCATATGTTTAATTTTTGATAGGCATAGGGGGATCATTGCTGCTGTGAACAAGGAAGATTCTGGGTGGCATCCACCTTATGTTTTCATCGCTTTTGTCTTTGGCATGTTTGTAGTAATTTTAATATAGATTTTAAGAATGCGCATTTGTACGATCTTATGTGGAGGGCTGGAAAGGCAAGACAGGTTCGCAAGTTCGATGATTTGATGACCCAGATACGCATCGTCAAAGAGGAAGCATATACATACTTGACTGATATACCATTAGAAAAGTGGATATTAGCCCATGATGGTGGACGATGATCTGACATCATGACAACCAACATTTTAGAGGTTTTTAATAGCGTTCTCCAAGGTGCTAGGTATTTGCCCATAACTGCTTGTGTGCAATCGATATTTTATCGAGTCACCAAGTATCATTTTGAACATCGAGACCTAGTGGCAAAATGGAAAGAAAATGGGATGGAGTTTCCTAAGCGTGTTGTGGAACGATTAAAACATGCACAACAAATGAGTCGTGTCCATGACATTACGCTATTTCATAGGGAGCATGGTCTTGTTGAAATGTCAACTGGTGGTGGTCATAAGCAAGTTTTGTGTCTTGAAGATCGTTCATGCACATGTGGAAAATAGAAAATTTACAGAATTCCTTGCTCGCATGTGTTGGCTGTATGCTCTTATTTTCAGTTGCATTTTTAGCCCTACATAGATCCCATATGCACTATCGACACTTTAGAGAAAATTTGAGAGCCTGGAATATTTCCTCTAAAGGATGAGCATTACTGGGATGATTTTTCACGTCCCAAATTAGTCCCTAATCATAACCAACGTCGAGACTTAGTTGGTCGGCCACAGATGATGCGCATACGGAATGAGATGGACTTCCCGCCAGAGGGTTATAATTAGATACATTGTGGGCTATGTGGCGAATTGGGTCACAATCGTCAAAAATATACATCCATAAATATGAGAGCTCCAACATCCCTTCAGTAGATTGTATTTTGTTATTTTGTGAGCTTGAAAAGTTGTTGTATGTTATAATCATTTGTGTGTTGGACCTTACGATGTGCTTATGTTGTAATATTATGTTGCTACACTGTCTTGTATTTACATGTTTGTTGAAATGATTTATTTGATGTTTGATGGTGGATTGTATTTTGTCGCGAATAAATCTTCTTAAATTTCAGTAGATTCATTTAGTTTTTTATTAATAATTGTATGTTATTTTTACTTTGTTTTTGCAGATTCATATAGTTATTCGTCATAGACACCAATAGCTGGCTTTTAGTACATCCTGGTCCACAGGACCATTTTGTTTTTGCGTTACAGGTTGACCGTCAATCAGTGTATATCTGACAAGGTATAGATCTGCCTCCTTTGCACTGCAGGCGTAGTAATGGTACCGCACTCCAATTACATGTCACAAATGAGCGTGTACTCCGTCATTTGGTTACTGTCAAATTATACGGGGCGCACAAGGTTGTGTCTAAGCAGTTGGATCATGCCCTCATCACAGCGCTAGTCGAGAGATGGCGGGTCGAGATGCATACTTTTCATCTTTCGATTAAAGAGGCTACTATCACTCTTTAGGATGTTGCTGTTCATACAAGCCTACCGATTGATGGTATAACAGTGTCCATGAGAGGTAGTTGTCCAGCTGACACGACATGGCCTGCATTATGCCAACAGTTTCTTGGATTTACACCTACCGAGGGGGTTATCAACAAGTCTTCCCTCAAGATTTCTACATTGAGGGGGCATTTGGATGGAGGTGTCCCAGTAGATGCTGATGATGATTTTATTACTTCTTATGCCACAACCTACATCATGCTGCTGATCGATTCATATCTTTTTCTAGACAAGTCTTCTAGCAAGGTGAAGTTGATGTACCTTCCTTTGCTTGCTGATCTTACCACAACTAGTCAGTACAGCTGGGGTAGTGTGGCATTGGCCTGACTTTATCGCGAGATGTGTATCGCCAGTAGACGCGATGCTAAGGACATCGGTGGATTGCTTGTTCTAGTACAGGTACATGCAAACTTATGTTTCATGTTTGTCCAAATATATATTGTTTAATGTAATATCAAATCTATGTTTTACACTACAACTGTTTTATTTTTTTATATAGTTGTGGGCATGGGAGCGTTTATCGCATATACATCAACAACTATTACTTCCACGTGGGCCATTACATGATGTACATCTAGACACTGGCCCAGCAGATGGTGTTGCACTTGCACCTGCACTGGTACATGGTCCTGCACCAGATGTACTAGCACCTGAGGACCTTCTAGTAGGGTCTCGTGGGTGTAGGTAAGACATTATTAGTGTCTTACCTTTTATTATTTATTAGTATTATATAGTACATCCAACTAATTTTTTTTGTACTATGTAGCACATAGGTCGAGGCAGAGGTTGGCATGGAGTCGATCGTCATATACACCATACACATGATCCAGTAGATGGTGGAGTCACAGAAGATATACTGCCTCCGCCTGATTGTCAGCGGCCCAAGCGGCAAAAGAGACCACCACCTTGTGGGACGTAGTCCTTTTTTGACCTTTTTTTGTATAAAATTTGTAATTATTATTGTTGTATATAAAATTTATGTGTGTTCATAGTTTCATATAATGTTAATTCATTACTGCCTTTTAGATTATTTATTCGATACTCTAAAGAAATGTTTGTTGAATAACATAACATAAATTATTAAAATTTAGATGGACATTACAAACTGGAATAGTACACCAGATTTCATAAAAACAAAATACAGAAACATAATACATAATACATAAACATATTGCAAACACAAGTACGATGACGAAAGTGTAAATATTACAACACAAGATTTTCATGACACTTCTTCATGGGCCTTCATCTTCGTCAGAGAGGTAATAATCAGAAATATATCCATCTTCACCACTCAATTGGTAGCTTAAAATTATTTCTTGCATCCTCTCTTTTGCAGCACGGTTACTTTTAATACACCGCAGATTGTACCAATTACAACGGATTGTCATTCGATTGTTCTCAACTCGAAGGCGAAACAATGCTCCCTCCAATTCTTGAGGAGTGTTAATAGGCATACCAATGGCAACTTGTCGAAGCCTTCTTATGTTGCAAGAACGTAAATCTAAGCTTAGATTTTCTCTTTCATCAAGCGATATGGCCATTCCGCCATCATTGTGTTCGTACCTGTTAGTGAATAGTGTAACTGAGGATTCGTTGGATAAAAGAACTCATCCTCTAAAGCCCAATGATAAACCAGAGTTTCAAACAGGGTTCTCAGACTAAAATTCATTGTTAGAGATGAATTCTGTACATTGAACATTTCACATGAGTTCATACTTATAGGCAATTTATTTATGTGAGTATGCCAGTCTACAACCTAAATGAATGACATTAGAACATTATGTAGTCATATTCATTGACTACACAATAATATCTAGTGACACTTATTGATAGTGAACTATTGTGTAGTCACACAGACTGACATTTCTCAACCAGTGTTTAGTCACAGTAACCTAGTGTGTTGTCACAACGACTGACAATGATGCAATTGTCAGTCATTGTAACTATTTTTTATTCAGCTGGATCAGATTAATGAAGACCCTACATTGCACTTCAATGCAATAGTGTATTGTCATATTCCACATCCTATGACTACACAGTAGTTAACAACCACAAACCCTAATACTATTAAACGTATCACAGGTCGTGAATCACTATGATGTAGGATGAATCAGGGTCTATTAAAATCAATGTACTACATTTCTCAGCCAGTGTTTAGTCACAGTAACCTAGTGTGTTGTCACAACAACTGACAATGATGCAATTGTCAGTCATTATAACTATTTTTTATTCAGCAACACACATTAATGAAGATCCTACATTGCACTTCAATGCACTAGTGTGTTGTCACATTCCACATCTTGTGACTACACAGTAGTTAACACCCACAAACCTTAATACTGTTAAAATTATCATGGGTCGTGAATCACTATGACGCATGATGAATCATGGTCTATTAAAATCAATGGACTATATTTCTCACTGTGCTGTCACAGTCACTGCGTACTACTGTCTGTTCTTGCTAACATGTAATAGTGTGTAGTCACACGTACTGCACAAGTATCCTGTTACTGTTTGACCATCAACTCAAACATAAAGGTGACTATACATTACTGCACTGCTGACAAATGTATTTATTTCAGACAATGAAAAAAATATATAAAAACATAATATAGGGTGGATCATATAACATTTATTATACATTATGTCTACTTCAAGAGCACGAGTAGGTGATACCAGCCGTAGGCTGGTGAACCAGTATGGTTATTACAAGAGCGAGATGATGATTACAAGAGTGAGAAATATTCTGATCCAAAGAAGTATTATGCCGACTTGTCGAGAGTGGACTTTTTGTGTAATGAATCACAGTCATTATGAATAGATATGAGAGAACATGGTATACCAGTGCCACATAAACTTTCACTTACCATGCCTGAAAGAATAGAATCAAACTATGAAGCAACAATTAAACGTATACGGAAAGGAGAATAATAGGATGATGTTGCATAAGTGCCAATATTATATGCTCCAAATAGCATCTGACATGGTGGCAACTGCATTTGGCAGGGAGTTAACAGCTACTGAGCAATCTAAAGTATGTGAATGAACAATACCTATCAGATGAGTATATGTCTGATAAAAATTAACGAATATAATTAGTGTCCA